AAAGCCTCCATCCCTGTACCCCTGCTGCCAGGATGATGGGCTGGATGCTCTCCTTTCTGCCTCTGTGCTGGCACTTGCTTTTTGCAGAGCAGGGGGAGCTGGGGTGATGGGGCGTATTGTCACCTGGCCATACACCACTGCCAACAGCATGGGCAGCTGGTGGCTCTGCCTGGCTGGACTCTGCCCTGCTGCCCTTTGTCCGAGTCCCTTGTCCCCTCCTGGCCTCCCACAGCTGAGCTCCCCAGTGCAGGGGATCTCAGTGGAGCTGCCACGGGGAGGGAACTCAGATACTGTGCGTATGCACCAATCCCCCTAAACCTACAGTTTTTCCTTGGAGCATCCTCCCCAAGCTCCACCAGTGAAGGGGGACACAACAAAGCACGCACCCCGTTAACAAGCACCCTGGCTGCCGCTTCTATGTTCACCCTATGCTTCCCCTTCTCTTGGGTTCTGTCTTCTGCAGGGCAGCCTCCTCCACGCCCACCTCAGCCTACCGTCCTGCTCACCAGTAAGTTGGGCTTCTTTGAGTGCTGCTTTCCCTTCTTCAAACCCTCTTTCTTTTCTCTCTTACCTGGGTGGCCTGGGGCGGGTGCCCTAGTATGCCTTGGGAGCAAGGAGGGCTGAAATTACAGGGTGGTTTGGGGGCTTGGAGATGTAGACACCTTCTTGCATCCTAGGGATGGGTGCTGGGACACTCACCATCTCTCTTTGCCCCTTCTAGAGCCTTGCTATGACCCAGTTAGTGAGGAGGAGGAGGGTCTGCCAGGGGGTCTCCGGAAGCTCTGCCTGAAGAAGCCGGGCACAGGGAAAGGTCTGCGACCGGTCAAGCCATCAGCACGAGTACCGGGCACCAAGGTGGGCGAGCGGCAGCCCGGACGGCTGGCAAGCGAGGGGCCAGCAAGCAGCGAGGTGACTCTCATTGACTTTGAGGAGGAAGTTCCCCAGGGTAGCCCCTCTCCAGTGGGAGATCTGACAGCCCCGTCATTAGCCAAGCTGGCCATGGAGGCCTTCTCTTTGCTGGACAAGACCCCACCACAGAGCCCCACGAGGGCTCTACCTCGGCCTCTCCACCCCACGCCAGTGGTGGACTGGGATTCCCGGCCCTTGCCCCCACCACCTGCCTATGATGATGTGGCACAGGATGAGGACGATATTGAGGTCTGCTCTATCACCAGCCCCCCGAGCCGGCGGGGAAAGACCAACTATGGCTTTGTGGATGAGGGTGAGCGGGGACCGGCACTGGAGGACAACCTCTTCCTGCCCCCCAAGGAGACCAAACAGCCCAGCATGACACAGACCACCGAGCTCTTCGAGGAGCTGCAGCAGGAGTGCATGAAGAGGCTCAATGTCCCTTTGGGACCGGCTGCTCCAGCTGACGACAAGCCCCAGATTCCTCCCCGTGTCCCTATCCCACCCCGGCCTCTTCGCCGTAATGAGCCTGGGCGCTGGTCGGGGGACCTTTCCCCAGCTTCGGGGGGCGAGGAGGACCGGCCGCCCCAGATTCCCCCACGGGACCCACTGTCCCAGCCCACTTCCCGGACACCCAGCCCCATGGCTCTGCAGGTGGGCTCCCCCCAGCAACGTGCCACCCTCTGCTCCTGCCTCTCCACCTCACCAGGGAAGCCCATGCCCACCACACAGAGCTTCGCCCTCGACCCTAAGTACGCCACCCCCAAGGTCATCCAGGCGCAGGGCAAGGACTGCTCCAAGGGACCTTGCATCCTGCCCATCGTGAAGGATGGGCAGAAGGTCAGCAGCACCCACTACTACCTGCTGCCCGAGCGCCCTGCCTACCTGGACAAGTACGAGAAGTTTTTCAAGGAGGCTAAAAGCCCTGAGGAGGTGGCAGCTTCCCGCCAGGTCACCACAGCCACCGTCCGTCCCATGGTGCAGCAGCCATTGTCAGACTGCAAGGCCAACTTTTCCTCCAACAACAGCAACCCTGGGCCCAAGTGCCTGGTGAAGGCTTCCTGCAGCCTCCAGAAGATTGTTTATGACGGGCCAGATGTTTGCCGTCCTGCTGACAAGATCCGGCTGGTAAGTGTCATCCCCCAGCATCCATGAGAAGTGGGCTTACATGGGCAAGAGCTTTCCCCACCCTGTGCCTCAGTTTCCACAAGTTCAACCCCAGGGGATTGGCTACAAAAAAGCCCTAGATGTTCAGGGGGACATAAATGTCACTGCAATGCCAAAATGGGAATTGAAGGCCCTGGGGAGGAGGACAGTGGCTGTGCTGCTATGGTCCCCTTGGTCTCTCTAGGCTGGGGATATTGTGGCCCACCCAGGCCCAGGAGAGATTTAAGATCCCAGGGATGAGAATGATCCCAGCTCCAGACTGATAGTGCTCCTTGAAGACAGAACCAGGGATGGGGCCAGCCCCAGTGGTCTCCTGCTTCAGTCACAGGCTTCTTGCTGCCCAGGGGTAGCAGCAGACAGTGACCACAAGCTCCCCCCCAGGTGCAGGACACGGTGCATGGCGTGACCACCGAGGAATGCCAGGCAGCCCTTCAGAGCCATGGCTGGAGCACCCAACGGGCTATCCAGTACCTGAAGGTACAGCACACACCTGTTCCCTTGTCCCAGCTCCATCAAGAGTGGTGGCACCCCTGTCACCCCTCTGGCCATGCCCTGTCCCCTTGCAGGTGGAGCAGCTCTTCTGCCTGGGGCTGAAGTCCCGTGGTGAGTGCCAGCGGGTGCTGGAGATGTTCGACTGGAACCTGGCACAGGCCAGCTCCCACCTCCTCGATCCCTACAGCACCACCCGCCAGAAGTAGGGTCATCAATGTTTCTGGGGGGGCAATTCTCTCTGCCACACTGCTCTGGGCCGACTGGCACTATCACCCCTCCTGAGTTCATGTCCTGTTCTCTCCTTACAGGTGGTGACAGCAGGGATGGGGCGAGCTGTGTTGCATCCAGAGCAGGCATCTCGCCATGGGGCCAGTCCCGCCGCCTCCACACATACAACCTGCTGCAGGACTCTGGACTGAGCCCCCATTTGAGGGTGGAGACACCCCAAAAGGGACCCTGCCTAGTGCCAAGGCTTTCCAGGATGCTTGTGCCTGGCCTTGGCAATGGGCTCCATCCCCTGGCCCCTTGTTGAACTGTTTTTGTAAAGAGAAATGTAATTTTAATATATATATTATGTGTATATATATATAAAAATGTTCTATAGAGAGGCTGAGGGTACCTATGGCCATCTCCCAGGTTTATCCCTACCAACACACAGGGACAGGCCACACATCCGTGGGTGCTGGTTCCTCCCTGCAGGCAGCTGGGACTGTGACCCTTGGGATCCGCAGTGGGATGAAGCTCGGGAGGGGATGTACAGACTCTGGGAATCCCCAGGAAGCTGTGTGACATGTGCACCTTTAAACCTCCTGCTGAGTCCTCCCAGGCTGCTTTAGGGTGCAAAGTTCTCCCCATCCAGGGCTGCTGGAGTTAGTCACAGTATATCCCACCCCCAGGCCCAACGCTTGAAGGCCGGGCATGGTTTTGCCTGCTCTGAGTGGGCAGTGTTTGCCTGCAGGGGAGCCCCCCTTGCCCGGCTGCCACCTGACTCATGCCCGGGCAGGGAGTGGCAGGACCGGCGTCGCCCCCACCCACGTGTGGCTGTTGTGCAACCGGGTGCCTCTGCTGCAGACGGAGCCGGGAGCAGGTGTGGGAGTGGAGGGGTGGCCCCTGTGGGGTCCCAGAGCCGGTGTCAGTGCTCACTGCCCTCTCCAGGTGGGTATCAGAGCCCCTTGGCTGGGTTTCCTTCAGGGCTGCCTTCTAGCAGCATCAGGAAGGGATCTTTGGATCAGGTGGAGGAGGATCTTGGTGCCCAAACCCACCAGGTCCATTGATAGTGGTGGTACCTGCTCCCCAGGATACTCTGCTCCAGAGCTGGTGCTCCAGAGGAGAGACCCTGCCATGGTCTCTCCATGGTGAGGAAGGGCTGCCTTGGCATGACCATGGATCCATCCTTGTGGCAGATGGTACCTGGCCACATCCTGTGCACCCACAGCTCCCTCTGCTCTGGTCCCCTGGCCCTCCCTGAGCGCGGGGACAGGGAGCTGGTGCTGCTGTGAGCACAGTCACGCGTCACTGCTTGGGACTCTGTGCTTCTGTTTTCCTGTGTGAGGTGCAGCCCCATGGCAGGGCTGTCAGTGAAGCGAGGAAGGCACAACACCATCACTGACTTACTTCCCTCTCCTTAAGTGATCCTGGAGATGGGTGAGACCTTGTGAAGAAGCAAACACATTTGCTGCAGTGGCCTCACTGGCTCCGTTCACGCAGCAGGGTCCGTCCGGCCTCTGTCGCTGGTGGAAGGTGACCTGTAACCCAGGGCAGTGCCTGGCCGCGCCACCCGTGCGGGGACACTCCCCCCACTCCATCCGGGTTTGTGTGGGCGTTTGCCGCGATGTGCAGATAACGCCTGCGAGCGGCAGTGCCCAAGGGGGGACAGGGCAGGGTCAATACGTGGGACCCCAAGGCACCAGCCGTAGCCTGCTCCTTCCTTCTTCCTCCTTGGTGACAAGCCAACCCCTGCCAGGGGTTATCAGCCGTGCGGCCAAGTGTGGAGGGACCTGACAGCAACCAGGATAGGGGTGCAGAGCCCAGGACTGACCCACCTCTCCCAGAGATGTTTGGGACCCCTGTCCCCACCTGCCATCCCAGTGTCTTTAGGCCAAGTGACTTTGAACCCCCCGGGGTGGCTCCTCAGGGGTTGGGGACCCCAGCCGCGGGCTGTCAGCAGTGGGATCGGCCTGGAAAGGACCTTAAAGCTTCCCATGGCAAAATGGGTGTGGCCCCCAGCATCAGTGGGTGCCCGGAACTGGGACGCTGCCACCTCAGCGCAGGCTGCGAGGGCACAGAGACGTCAGTGCCCCAGGCAGGGCACGTGGTGTCCCTGTCCCCCCCACCTGGAGGAGTGCTCACCGGCGGAGTCACCCTTGCACGCTCCCTTCAGAAGGTGAGAGCTGCAGCCGTGTCGCCTTCCTCCCTGACACCGAAGAAGCACGATGGGGTGCCGGGGCCCGTGGCCGCTCTGGAGCTGGGTGCTGTGGGGGTTCTGGGTGCTGCCAGGTAAGTGCCAGGGTCTCTCGCACTGCTGCCGGGCTGACCAGGCGGCTGATACCGTGTGGGTGATGGGCTGCGAGCGACCCTCCGGCGGCTACAAGGCTTCCCGAGTGCCCGGCCGGGGTTTGTCCTCTCCCTGTCCGCGGGTGCCAGAGCTTTGTCACGGTCCCCAGCTGCAGCAGGGGAAGGTGGCGGGAATTGTGGATCAAATGGAGAGATTGACCCTGGGGGAAGGTCCCTGTCCTGTTCTTGGTGTTGGTCCTCCCGCAGAAGGGAGGAGGGCGGGGGGTGATGGTGACTCCGGGCTGGCTTTTTCCTCATCCTGCCCTCACCTGCCTTCTGCACAAGCCGGAGAGATGAAGGGGCAACCCCTTGTCCCCACGCTGGACCCATCCGAGTCGGGCAGCATCTCCCATGTGGCCGACAGCACCAGCGCCGAGGTGCCTTCAGAGCTGGCCGTGTGCCCGGAGCTCCCCAGCGCCGCACGGTCGGAGCTCCCCACTCCCCCCGGCCCGCCCGCCGCCCCCGCGGGCAGCCCGAGCTCAGGTAAGGCCGGCAGGCAGCTGGCCGCGGGCAGGTTCCTGCCTGCTGGGGCCGCGGCGGGGCTGATCCAGCTGGAGCTGCCTTGTCTCGCTCCACAGGCATCCTGGTGCCGCAGGAAACAGAGAGAGGGCTGGTCCCAGCTGGAAGTAGTGGTGAGGAGGGGCCTCCCAGCCCTGCAGCTCTCCCTGGGGGTCCAGCAATGCAAGACAGCCCCCAGGCAGGGTCAGGGGCTGGGCTCGCCTCTGCAGGTGCTGCCGGCCACCCAACCAGCGTCCCTCCAGCTCCCACCACCACTTGGCACATGCAGCCTCTGTCCTTCAAGCCAAAGGGGCACACAGTGGGTCTTGCCCTGGGTGCTGTCACCGTGGAGCAGATGCCAGTGACAGCATGGACCGCAGAGCCATTGCTCCCCCAGGATGAGCACAGCACATCGACATCATCCCCCAGCATAAGCAGGAGCTCTGCTGAGCCATGTAGTACTGCCATGCTCCTGTCCCAGGAGGTCATGCTGGGGCTGGATGAGGCCACCTCACCTTTGGCCACAGCTGCCAGCATCTCTCAGGACAGGGGCAGCGTCATGGAGATGACACCAGCCTCAGCCAGTCCCCCTGACACAGCTGCAGAAGGAGCCTTGTCTTCTACCACCACTGGCACCAGCAAGGCTGCAGAGCCAGGGACAAGTACCTTACCCAACGCTGACCACAGTGCCTCACAGGACCCTCCTGGGCCTCCCAGTAAGCTGCCTGCAGCCCTTTTGCCCCAGCTTCCTGAGGATGCTGTGCTGGGCACAGCAGGGACGTTCCTCCCCAGCCACAGTGCAGCCCCGAGCGCTGCTGGACATGAGCTGCCTGCAGGCAGCACTGCCAACCAACCCCAGGCCACCACACAAGCTGCAGGCACACTGGCTACAATAATGGATGTCATAGCTGGAGAGCACATCCCACCTCTGGGAAGCACCAGTACTGAGCTGGTGTCCATCAGGAATGAGGCCAGTACCAAAGCCACAGCAGGCACTGCCATTGCAGAGACCAAGGACACACCAGGGGGGCTCAGCATGAGTCTGTCCCCCCATGCAGCTCTCAAAGACCCTGATGGTCCCTCTCCAAGGCCCTTTCCACGCTCCATGGGCTCTCTGCTCCCTCAGTCCCTCTCAACAGGCCTTGAGACCACCACAGCAGAGGCTGCTGCAGGTAGGTCTCCTTCAGCCACTCCCAGCATGGCCATGCCTTTGTCCCTCATGGGCACCACTGGAGCAAAGCCAGACAGCGACCCTCGAGCTGCTGCTGCTGCACCACCACCTTCCACCGCTGCCTTTGGCATTGGGACTGTGCCAGCTACCCATCCATCCTCCTTTGTTAGCAATGCTCCAATTAGTGAAGCAGGGATGGGATCAGCATCACTGGCCAGTGGCAGTGCCACCGCAATACCGGGGGACACCGAAGCCACCCTGCCTGTGCCCGATGCACACTCCAGCCACAGCCAGCCAGGTCCCACAGCAGGCTCAACAACCCCAGGAACTGGCGTCACACCCAGATCTGCACTAACCCCAGTGCTCTGGGCTGGGTCTCAAATTGTGGAAGCTCCAGGGACAGAGATGCCATCACCCAACACTGCACCAGGCACTGACAGAGCTGTATCAGATACCCCTGGGGGACCCAGAGCAGTCACTGTCCCCATGGCATCACAAAAAGACGTCCCCTCTCTCCTGGAAGACAGAGCCAATGCAGGGATGGCTCTGGAGGTTTCCCCATCCAGCATCTCCCAAAAGATGGCACCAGTCACGTCCCCACTGCCCCTGGCTGCCCCACTGCAAGCAATGGGGGCTTCAGGTGACCCCCAGGCCAATGGCAGCACCACAGGGCGAGCAATGGGGTTCTTGGAGGTGAGCACGGAGGAGAACGCAGGTGCCAGTGCAGCAGAGCCAGCTCCCAGCCACACGATTGTCACTGCCAGGCCATCACTAGAGCCGCCTGCCACTGAGAACAAGCCCACCACTGGAATCACCTCGCTGGCTGCTGGCCACACAAATGTGTGGGAGGTTACAGCTGCATCCCGAACAGGTGCCACAGGCACCACTGCCCATGTGGACACCACCAGCTCTGAGAGCAGCACTGAGGGTGCAGCCAACACCAGCAGTACCCGTGTCCCTGACTCCAACACCAGTGGCACAAGCATGGCCACCATGCCGGCCACTACACCATCCACCAGCACATTCCCCAGCAACGCTAACCTGCCAACCACCTCCACAGGCTGGGAGACCTTTGTGACCAGTGTCACCACAGCCATGCCACCTGCCACAGCACGGGCCACCAGCAGTGCCCCATCCCTTGCTGTAACACACAGCGAGACAGGCGGAGGCGGGCAGTCTGTCCCACCCCCAGCAGCACGGACTCCCGTGGTGGAGACAACTCTGGGACCCTGGGGCGTCCTTGGTCCCAGCACTGCTGTTGCAGTGTCTGGTTCTCCCCTCCCCAGCCTGCGCAGCCCAACAGAGGAGGCAGCAACAGCCCCCTTGTCCCTGCTTGGTGTTGGTGCAACTGGGGTGGCAGCAGCTGGACAGACTCACACCGAGTCAGCTACAGACACCACTTCTCCTGCATCCATCAGCTACCATGACATGGGACAAGCAGCGAGCACGTCACCTCCTGCCTTCCAGACATCTCCAGGGGCACCTGCCTGGAAGGAGAAAACAGCCATCAGCAGAGACAGCACCACAGCCACTGCTGCAGGGAACACCATGGCCAGCACCACAGGTAGCACCACGGTCACCACGGCCACCACTGCAGGCAGCACCACTGCCACCACTGCAGGGAATAGCACTGCCACCACTACAGACAGCACCACTGCCACCACTGCCACCACTATAGACAGCACCGCTGCCACTGCTGCAGGGAACACCATGGCCAGCACCACAGGCAGCACCACGGTCACCACGGCCACCACTGCAGGCAGCACCACTGCCACCACTGCAGGGAACAGCACTGCCACCACTACAGACAGCACCACTGCCACCACTGCCACCACTACAGACAGCACCACTGCCACCACTACTGGGAGCATCACTGCCACCACTGCAGGAAACAGCACTGCCACCACTGCAGGAGGCACCACAGCTATTGCATCCCCAGCCCCCGTGAGCCCAGCCAAGGAGGAGGGAAGTCTCCCAGGCACCACAGCACCAGTGACACCACCAGCCACCACCAGCCCTGCCACCACCCTGTCTCACACCTTTGGGACACAGAGAGGACCGTCCACCGAACTGAGCACATCTGCCCACACCACCACTGGGCACAGAACTCCTGCACCTGAGCCCCAACCCACCCATGAGCTTATCAGTGAGTAGATTTTCTTTTTCCCAAGGACAAGAGTAGGAAAGGGGTTTTCAGCCAGTCAAGCATTGTGATGGATGAGGGTGTGGCCTGGTCTGGGATATCTCATCTGCATTGCGCATTGGGCTGCCAGATTAATGGGAAAAGGCAAAATAGGACATTTGAGAGCATCCCAAAAGTGGGTTGAGAATTGGATTACAATCCATCAGAGCACAGGCACAGCATCCTGGCAGCAAGCAGGTGGGTTTGTCCTGGCTGCAGGATGGATAAAGCAGACATTAATGATTTCACAACTTTTTCATTGATCTCCTGCCCATGGCAGAGCCAGCGACTTCACTCTACCCCTTTGGCGTGGAAGGAGGGGATCAAGAATACGTCCGGAGGATGGTGGATTTTAACTCACCCCTCTTCAAGCCAGAAATTGGATTTCCCTTTGGGAAGTCACTGCGAGATGCTCTCTATGTGAGTGCCCCCTTTGGTGAGCACATAATGGATGTGCTGCCTTTTTGGTAGAAAAACCCCAAACATTGAAACGGAGCAGAAATCAAATTTAATCTATCTTTTTTTTAACATTTAAAATGGTTGGTTTCTGTTTACCCATGGAGGCTAAAAGCTATCCCAGTCAGCAAATAACAAGTTTTTTGTTAGTTTACAGATAACGGACAGATCATTTTTCCACCCACGGACAACTATGTCCCGTCCAACCCCAACCCCCCTCCCCGGGGCTTCACTGGCCGGGAGAGCTTGCCAATGGTGGCTGCCTTTTGGGGTGATGCAGACTTTTCCAAGGGTGTTGGCACCACTTGGTACCAGGTGAGGGCCACCAGAGGTTTTCTGGGAGAATCCAATTCCCAGCTCACTCATTTAATTCCCTCTCTTGCCCTCTGGCAGGAGTACTCTACACTTAGCTCTACCCAAGACCCCGTTGTCCAAGATGTGGAAGCAAAGATTGAGAAATACCTAAAAATCCGCTATGCAGCAAAATGGACCTTGAAGGTGACGTGGGAGAAAGCTCCAGCATACCCATCCCGGAGGGATGACACTCAGGTGAGCAGTGCGGGACCCAGGTGACAGAGAGGACGCTGGTGGCTGTTTCAAGCCTCAGTCCGCTCTGCAGGGAGAGCAGGGGAGGCTCTGGGAGTGCTAAGGGGGTGCCTTGGGTTCTCCAGACCAGCACCTACCAGGCAGTGCTCAGCACCGACGGGAGCCGCTCCTTCGCCCTGCTGCTCTACCAGGACGGTGGGATGCGCTGGGACTACACCAGGCTGGCTGCAGCCAACGTGCTGATCGGCTTCTCCAGGTGCTGCACGCGTGTCACTGGGGTTTGGGACAGCTGAGATTTGTTCCAGCACTGTGTTGAGACTGTTGGAGGAATTACCCCCGGGATCCCACTCCTGGAGCCATCCTGCCCCGTTTAAACCCTTTATCTTGCACACAGCAGCAGTTCCCACCCCAGCTGCTCTGTGGGGGGAGGAGGAGGGTTGTGTTGGGAGGATGACCTCAAACCTCCTTTCTCCACACAGCGGCAATGGCTATGCCCAAAACAACGAGCTGACTCAGAAGCCACCAGCTGTCAAGTACCGACCAGACCAGCACAGCAGCAGAGGCTCCGGTACGGCACCGGGGGCTCCTTGGGGTGGGTGGGGATGGAAGGAGCTGTGTGCTCCATGCCAGGAGCATGTCCCCAGCACGCATCCCTGGGAGGTGGTGGGCCAGCAAAGCCACCGGGCAAGAGCTGGCCACCAAGAGCAGACTGTGGGTGTCCTATGTCCTCCTGTGGCTTGCCACAGCCCTGCTGGCTCTAGAGGGAGCCTGGAGACCTCGTGTGAGGTCAGTGGCCAGGGACAGCTGTCCCACGGGATCCCTCAGCACAAGGTGAGACCCTGGCTGAGCAGTGTTGTTCTCTGGTTCCTCCTCCAGATGTGCGTGGGCTGTGGATTTACAGACTGGACAGTCGCTCCCGGGTGAATTACAGGCTGCAGTGCCTGGCGTGGCTGGACACAGAGCCAGCGCCAGCCACCTGGAACAGCCAGCTGCCACCATGCCCCTGCTCCCGGCCCCAGGCAGAGCTGGATCCCCGCTACCACTGGAGCAGAGGTGCCAAGGACAGTTCCCCAGGAGCAGCGGCAGGGCGGGGGGATGGTCCCCTCCTGCTCTGGGGGCGGCTGTGATCCCCACACTATTTCAGGCCCAGCAGACACCTCGGTGAGGATGCTGCGCACTGCGTCCCCCAGCCCAGCCGGAGCTGGGGTACGATGTCTGTACCAAGGTGGGAGCTTGCTGGAAGGCTGGCAGGAGAGAGCGTGGAGCCTCCCCTTCCACGCTGCCACTGGTAAGTGGGAACTGGCATTCCCTCACCCTAAAATACCCCAAGCATCAAGCACAGTCAGAGCAAGGGCCCTGACACACCCCATCACACTCCTCCACAGACACGGAGCTGGAAGCGTTTGACTGGTGCTGCCGGCGTGTGGGGAAGCCCCGGTTCTGTGCCAGGTTTGCTGAGAAGAGACCGAGGGTTGACTGTGAAGGATACGTGCCACCCACCCCTGGTGAGTCCCCAGGCTCTGCCTCTGCTGTGCCAGGGCACTGAGCTGTGCATGACCCCATGCTTCAGCCACGCTTTGCAACGTGCCAGTGGGGACTGCTGAGCCACCACTGAGCAGCTCTGGGGCTGCTCTCCTTCCTGAAATGATACCAGCATTTGTTCTTCTTCCTCTGCCCAAAATGTCTCCATCTCCTTTGGACCCCAGCTGGTGCCTTTGGCGACCCTCACATCACCACCCTGGATGGACTCACCTACACCTTCAATGGGCTTGGGGACTTTGTCCTGCTGCTGGCCAGTGATGCCCAGACCAGCTTCGTTTTGCACGGGCGCACAGCACAGACTGGCATGGCCCAGGCCACCAACTTTGTGGCCTTTGCTGCCCAGTACATCTCCAACACCACCACAACAGTGAGTAGGAGTGTCCTGGGTATGAGTTTGAGCCTCTAATGGGAAATACCTCTCTGGCAAGCTGGGTAGATGCCTCTGCATCGCCTACAAGTGGATGGGACCCAAGAGGCATCTCCTCTCCTTTTCCTGCCACCTTCCACCACTCCAACAAAGTACTATTAGTGGGGAAATGGACTAATACTCACCAGGCACAGGTCTAACACCTCCTGCAAACAGGCCAGCAAGAGCTGGAGACTCTGGAGGGACATGATATGCTTCACCTTTTCCATTGCACACTCCTTGTCCTCACACTTTAGCACAAGTGGCCGCTCTTCCTGACTTTGCAGAATTGCTCCCCACAGCCATTTAGCTTCATTAAGCAGAATGTCCTGGTGTCACCAGGAGCAGGCATTGAACAGCATGAGGAGGGGGCTCAGAGCTGGGAGCCCCCCAGCACAGCTCTCCGTGCTGTCAAGGTCAGCTGAGCAGTGGTGGTGGCCTGGGCATGTCCCTTGCCAGCAGTGACAGGCAGCTCTCTGTCCTCTTCTGTGCAAACATCAAAGCTGGTGTACTGTGTGTCTGCTGGGGTGAAGAACACACCAACACAGGCCCCAGGGCTGAACCTCTCTTCCTGGGCTGGAGGAGGACAGAGTTAATAATTGTTCCCAGCATGGAGGGACAGCAGGAAGGGACCAGCAGAGGGTCTGACTGGGACATCCACCACAATTTTCAGGTTGAGTGGATCTTGGGGAGCCAGGATGACATCCAAGTCCTCCTGAACAACGCAACCATCCAGTTTTCCTATTCCCAAGGTGAGCAGGGTCTGCTGTTAAATGCTAAATGTATGTGGGGGGGACCAGAAATGTCTCCATCCCCTGGGACCAGCCCTGCCCAGTGCTAGGGCAGCCATCCTGAGATCCATTAAATGTCTCTCACCTGCACTTGTCTCTGATCTGGGTGAGGTGCATGGGGAGCACTCCCCTCCAGGAATCCATGGTTGTCATTTCAGGTCCCAGCCTTGCATGGACTCTCCCTCTGTGCTCTCTTTCTCTTGCAGAGCTGGGTGACGAGGTCTACTACAGCCCTGGTGTCCTGCTAGTCAACGCCTCCTCTGTCACGGCCGTCTTCCATGGGACCATCGCTGTCTCTGTCTCAGCCACCTCCGGGATCCTCAGTGTGGTCTGCAGCCTGCCCGACTGGTACCGCAACAGCACCAGGGGCCTCCTGGGTGAGGGCTCCTGGCACAGCCGGGGTGCAAGTTCTCTTCCCACTCTAAAGTAGACTGGAAAACTGGGGAATCATGCTTGTGAGGGCAGGGACACCTGGGTGTGAACTAAACACTGGCCAGCACCAGAGAGGAGGTCAACCCTGGCATGGGGGATTCCAGCACTCTGGTGATGCTCCACCAGGTGTGTGGGACCATGACCCTGCAGATGACTTCCAGATGCCAAATGGTACCAGCATCCCTGTGAACAGCAGTGAGGAGGAGATCTACAGCTATGGGATGACCTGTAAGTCCAGGCTTAGGATCCCTCTTGATGATCCTCTCCTTTCTGCACCTCCTGGCCATGCTTTGGCTTGAGATTTTTAAACATTTGCCTGAGCAAAAGCAATGTCAAGGGAAGGTGTTTGGTGTCCTCACTGCTCTGTGAAAAGGAGCCCTAAAATACAACAAACCTTAAAATGGCCTGTACCCATGGTGTGCTCTCTTGCAGGGGCTGTTGGGGAGCACAGCCTGTTCACTCAGCCTCTGGACTCACCAGCACTGAGCTTCACACCCTTCTTCTTGTCTCGGCTGCGGCAGGAGAATGAAAGCCAGTACCAGCTGGTGGCCTCTCAGTGTCATGGCAGCAAGGAGTGCATCTATGATTCACTGAGCACAGGGAACTTGGCCCTGGGCCTGGCCACCCAGAGCTTTGCAGCTGACTTCCAGCAGAGGAAGACAGCACTCAGTAAGTGGAGCACATCCTCACCTCTGAGAGGGCATGGCTTGGACATAACTGGGCAGTGCCCTGCTCCTTTCCTGGGCTCTCTTGCTTTATATGAGACAGAAAAGAAGTCACCAAGGTCTTGGATTTGCACTGCCCAGCTGGCTTTTCTCCAGTCCTGGGAGATGCCACCAGCAGGACAGTTGCCATCAAGGTTTTGGAATTGCATTTCCTGGAACTATATTTCTGGCTTCTCTCCAAACCTGGGAGATGCCACCATGCTGTGCAACATAAGGGCCTTGTTGGTGGGCAGCCGTGACAGCGTCTGCCTCGGTTCCCATCCTCACCAGGAGGGAGTCGGAGAGAAGGGGTGACAAGGCCACATGTGTGCTGGGCTGCTCTCTCCTCAGATGCCTTCCCTCCTGTCATCACCGGTGACACATCAATCACAGCCTTCAGGACAGAGAAGGTCACAAGGCAGTACCGTGCCTTGGGGGCAGGTGCACGCTTCATGCCCCATCTCTCACGGGAGCTCAACATATCGGGTAAGGAAGGAGAGATGGAGCAGCTGGGATGGCAAGGAATGGGATGGAATTCCTCTGCCACCTCTAACTCCTACCTCTCATCCCGGCAGAGAATGGGACCCTCATATGGGAGCCCCGTGGGATAGCCCCATTCACCATCAGCCTGGAGGCTGTTGGCTCCAACAACATCTCTGCACTTCTCCAGCTCCGCTTCACCCTTTGCAGATGCAGCAGGAGCCAGGACTGTGACTACAGCAACACTGTCACTCTCAGGGAGTCTTCCCTGCAGGTAGTGTACCAGAAAGCTCCTCTGGCAACACACTGTGCCTGTCCCCATGCCAGCTGTGCTGGCTGTCTTCTCTGTCCACCTATCCTCCTCACGTTCCCTAAGCCAGTGTCACTATCCCCTTCCCAGCTGGCAGCCTGCAGATGCGAGAGCGGCTACTCAGGTGCCTTCTGCCAGGACCCTCCGGACCCCTGCTCCCAGGGATGCTTCCCTGGTGTGGGATGTGACCCTTTCAGTGGCTGTGGCCCCTGCCCAGCTGGCCTGACGGGGGATGGAGAGCATTGCTCAGGTGACAAGGGCTGACACCATGGCCACTGGGACCCCTGCCAAGGTGCTTGTCCCGGTGCCATGGTGCGCTGCCCCGGCAGATATCGATGAGTGCACGCAGGGGACGGAGTGCCCGGGGAACAGCACCTGCACCAACACTGTGGGCAGCTACCTCTGCTCCTGCCTGGCCAGCGAGCAGGGTGAGTGTGGGGCCTTGACAGGCATGGTCCTCGTCCCCATCACCCCAAGCTCTGTGGAAGAGAATTCCTGAGGGAACCAGGCTGGCCAGAGAGGAGAGAAGGGGGAGCTGCTTGAGCTCTGTGCCCAAGCCCTTGCTGTCATTTGCAGAAGAGACCAGAGTCAAGCCACCACTTGTGTTCCCAGGCTGTCGATCTCACTAATCCGCTGGGAAGAGAAATTTTTCCCATGCAATTTTTCTCCTTGAGAAAAAAATTCTCATCCCAGTAAAGTTCAAATGCACATGCAGAGGTTGGGGGCTAAATCAAGCCTTATTTTCAGATTGTTTTGGTGGGGTTGAGTTGATGGCTTTTGCTCTTGTTCTAATGCTGGGATTTAAGAAGGGCAAATGGCTCTAGCTGGAAGGAGGGGAAGTGGGGCTTTTCCTTGAAGTCATACTAAAACTCCTAACACATTAAAGAAAAACAAAACAAAACTTGGAAGAAAGGCCTTATGGAGCAGCTGAGGATGGCTCAGAGAGCTGGGGCACTGCCCTGCAGCCAGGTTCATGCCTCTACCATGCTCTCCATCCCACAGGTGAGAGGCCAGACTGTGGCTCAGCCTGTGGCTACCACTCCTGCCCTGAGGGTTACTGCAGCAACGGGGGACGCTGCCACCTTCACCCCATCACTTGTGCCCCCACCTGCACCTGCCCCCCGGCTTTCACCGACCAGCGCTGCCTGGTGGCAGGGGGGGATTTTCAGCCACTGCCCAGCTCAGGTGGGTACCTGTGCCCCATGAGGGGTGAAACCCGACCCCACTTACCCTGGTCCTGTGATACCAGAGCCACCACCGTGGCTTTCCCCAAGCAGGTCTCCCTCGGAGAAGCATCCAGATGAGGATCAAGACACTGCAAAACGCCACTGCTGAGGAAGTCAACAGCACTGTGTGTCACTGGAGGGGGTGGGCTCAGAGCAGGGGGCACACTGGCATACTGGGCAGCTTGGCAGCTGCGGGTGCCCATGCCTCTGTATGCCCTCCCTTGGGATCTCTGAGGCTTCAGCAGATCCACAAGCCCAGAGGGAGGAAGCACCAATTGCATGGTGATGGCTGCAGGCGTGGCCCTGTGCCAAGTGAATGAACCAAAGGCCAGAGCAGCCCTTGGGGTTTGGCCACAATGCCTGCATCACTCTTCAAACTTTCCCCATGCTGGTGTCATTCTGCTCCCCTAATCCCTTCCTGCTTCCCCCACTGCAGGTCTCAGCCATCCTGAACTCCCTGGAGGTAAAGGCTTTCCAGAGCAACACCAACATCACCCAGATGTGAGTCAGATGTGAAGCAGCCTGTGAGGCCCCCAAGGATTGGGCGGGGCAGGGCTGAGCATGGGGCCAGAGAGTTTGGTGCACAAAGGGCGTTTTCCCCCAGCTCAGAGTCTGTTTTTCCAGCCTGGTGCTGTAAACCCTTGGAGACACGAGTCTGTTGGCACCTTCCCCTCCTACCTCATCCCTTCCTTACCATCGCCCAAATGGGAATACTGAGGCACGGTGAGGCTCAGTCACTCTGAGAGGCAGCAGCAGCTCCACCAGCAGCCCTCTCTTTTCCCTGCAGGACAGACAGCGATGGCTTCACCTTCGTGGTGGTGTCCGAATTTGCCTATGACAGCCGCGGGACCGTCATCCGCTTCCTGAACGAGGAGCTGCCCGCGGCCATCACCGGCGCCTTCAACGGGCGGCGGGGGCAGCGGGAGGCGGGCACGGGGCTGCTCTTCCAGCGCCTGCACCAGGACAACATCACCGACCTGGTGAAGCGTGAGTTGCTCCTGGCACGGAGCTGGGAGTACCCCCCTGTCCCCATTGTCCCCATCACCCTATGCCCCAGGGATTGGTTCACACCCATGGGGGGGTGGATGGGCAGCCTCCCAACCCCAGCCACAGGTCCAGCTTGGAGAAGCATCAAGGGGTGTTGCTGCAAGGCTGAATCCGTGTGCTTTCCCTCCCCAGTGACAGTGGATGAGCTGAGGAACTATTTCCCCTGCTCGCTGTATGGCTACAAAGGCTACCAGCTCCACTACATGGGGACAATCGGCTTCGTCTGCATCTCCCCCTGCAAGATGGGCTACTGCCAGCACGGTGGCCAGTGCCAGCACCTGCCCGAGGGGCCCACGTGCAGGTAGCAGCAGCCCCGGGGTGGGCAAGGCCACACTGCACAGCTGCTTCTCCCACAGCATCACAGCTCCTCCCTCCCCATCCGCAGCTGCCTGCCCTTCTCCATCTACTCTCCAGCTGGCCTCCAGTGTGAGTGGCTGGCCATCAGCCTGGCTGCCTTCCTCGGCATCCTGCTGGGAGCCCTGGCTCTGCTCTGCCTCCTGTTTGCCCTCGGCTGCCTGGCCCTGCGCCTCTGCCGCCAGCACCGCCGCCGGCACCAGGGGTGAGCAGGGCTGGACCTGCACAGGGCTGGGTGCTGGGTTCTGGGCATGTGGCAGGCTGGGTGTCGAGAGAAAACTGATCAAAAATCCACATTTGAAAGATCTACCACTGGTAGAACTCGTCTGGTTTGGGCAGGGGGACCCTGCCCTTGGAGAGGGGTTGGGTGACCTTTTAATATCTTCCAGCCTCTTTTCCAGACATCTGTTGCTCAGGGTGCAATAGCATCAGTGGGTTGAATGTTAGCTTTCCTTTTCCCCCATGTTAGGGAGTGTTTGCACTTCTTCCTCATCCCACCCAATACTTGGTCACAGATGGGCTTTCTATTTAATTTTAATTTGCACCACCCAAATGATTTCCACTTCAATTCACATGGGTCTGGAAAGAGCTGGCCCAGAGCAAGGAAAAGTAGTTTAAGAATTGGACCTTGGTCTTCTGCAGGGCAGGGAGTTAACAGAACAATGGCAAAGTGCAAGGCTGGGATGGAAGGACCAGCATCTCCTTCCTCCTTCCCCAGCCCTTGGTCCTGCGGAGGCATCCACACCCAGGGGATCTCCCAAGCCCCTGGCTCTAGTTGGAGCTGTGTCCTGCCTCTGCTCCCAGCTCCCTGCCAGCCGTGGAGCCAGGAATCTCTGGGAAGTTCCTTGGTTCATTTGCATTTGTGCCAAGGCAGGAAATTGTGTGTGCACAATGGGGCTTTTCCTCCTCTTGCAGCCCCATCTCACCCCTGCAGTCAGTCACTGCTCCCCTTTGCCATCTGACCAAGACACCAGCATCAGGCAGGGGTTCTCCCAGCCTCTGCTGACATGTTCTCCCTATTCTGTTCTCCCCTCTCAGGGCCAAGGAGACCTTGTGGAGGACACGGCCCTTCTCCTGTGAGTACATGCCTGTAAAACTCCCCCCACCAAGGCTCTGCTTCACCCCAGTCCTCAAGTTCCACTCATCTTCCCTGCTCCAGCTTTAATGATGGCAGGAGAACAAGCAGAGCCCACGGGCTCCCACTCCCTGGAAAGGCATTGGAAACTGCAGCTCCAGGCCATTGACCCCTCACTCCAGGTCTGTCCTTGGGTTACTGCTTCCATGGAGTGTTGGGAGCTTTGTCTGGGCTCTGAATCCTGGCCCTGTGCCACAAAGGAGCTCAGGAGCTGTGCCTCATCCTGAAGCATGACCGATGCTTTGGCCGGCACTGGGATCTGTGCCACCGTGACAAAGCACAGAGCCAACGCCACACTGCCAGCATGGCCTGTTCCTCCTTTACAGATAAGAATCCAGAGACCCCATGTTATGCCTCCAAGCCAGTCCCCCCAGCAGCCCTAACCTGCCACCAGTCCTTTTGTGGCACCTCCAGGCCCACAGAGGAGCCAGACACTGCTGCCAGCTCTGCCGCTTGCTCTCCAGGTGTCCAGCAGCAGCAACACATGGAAGCAGGGACAGGCAGCTGCCTTCTGGGTTCTGGGAGGATTCATTCTGGAGGAGCTGCTTTTTTGAATGTGTGTTTATGTTGGGTGACCATAGCAGGAGGATTTCACCTTCTCTGAGGACCTGCAGAGATGCCTGGGATCATCCTTGAATGTGTCTGCACCAGGGGTATGTGCTAGTGCAGTAACCAGACCCTGCAGATCCCCTGGGAGCAGGGTCAGGTGGGGCAATGCAGTGATTGTAATCCCTTAGGAATCAAATAGAATAAACCAAAAATGGTGGCTTGCTGTTAAATTGTCTCTGTGCCAGCCCTGCTTCACTGTCATTGAGCCCTCAAGTCCCTGCTTTCTGCTGGTGCCAAAGTGAAAATGGATGTAAATTTTTTGGTGGCTTCATCCCCTCGTTTTCCCTACGCACCTGCAAGTCTCCTCACACTGCCTTCATGGGCACTGCTTACAGTGTCTCAGATCATGCAGGTCGGGCTTTGGCCCCACAAACATCCCACAGCTCTTCAACCCTGGTGACTGGGAGATGCTGACCCAAGGAGGGTATATCAGACCCCATCAGCTCCCCAACTCCCACCCCATTCACTGCCCTGGACCCTGGCTTAGCTGTGTCTCCAGCACTAAAGCTGAGAACAGAAATATCCTGTAATCCTGCTGCTCCAAGCCTGCCCTGTCACTGCTTCCCACCCCAGTTTGGCAGAGGACATGGCTGCTGCAGGATCAGTGATGCTCAAACCCTTCCAAGATCTTATTGAACAAACAAGATTTGACAATGATTTATTTTTTTTTAAGAAAGGAAGATGCTCTCTCACACACAAAAAATTATTTTTGATCCAACATTTCTGATCATGGGGTTGCATTTTGCCCTCACACACCCAGCAGATGTATTGATCTGATTCTGGCTTGATCTGGAGAATTGTCCCTTCTCCTGAGCACAGGGCCCAGGGACCACTCAGGGAGGGATGGCTGGGAAACAGAAGTGGGGGACAAGACAGGACAGCTCACAGGACAAGCCTGGTGCACCCTGGTATTTAAGGGCTTGGCCACAGTTAACCCACACGTGGTATTTAACCATTTCCAAGGGGTCCAGCCTCACCCTGCAGCATGGGAGCACAGTGGGATGGGGGAAGGACAAGGGTGGTGTGTGCAGTGGGGGGGTACCTGCCCACCTCCCCACCAGTTCTGCCCCCCAGCTGCATCTGGGAAAGGACAACTAAAGTAACTGAATCCTTGGGACAAGCCTGGGTTAGAAAAGTGAACTTGTGCCAGGGCAGGTAACTGCAGGCACTGGCCAAGTGAGCTGCCCTGCGTGGTGGGCAGGGGTGATGGGTTCTGTGGGGGGACACGGGGGAGAGCAGATCAAAGGGCTTGGAGGATCAGCCATGGCCTAGAACGTGCTGCAGGTGTGCAACCTCACAGTTACTTGTCCTCTCCGTCTGCAAAGAAGAAATGAGATTTGCTCAGCCACCTTCTCCCTGAGGGGCAAGCTGGGAGTCCCCGGGGCATTTTCTTGCAGGGGCACAGGGACAGAGGGAAAGGAGACCCCACAATCCTGCTCACCTGTCTGCTCATCTGAGTCATTCTCTGCCTCCTCCGAGGAATCTGTTGAGGGTTGCAAGAAAGCCCCACATCAGCTTACACCATAACCACATTTGCTGTGGTCCTCCTCACCTCCCAGTACCATTACCCCCAGACTGTGCTGGTGGTTATGTGCTGAGGGAGATGCCTCCACAACCCCACACAGCCCAGGGCATGGTACAGCAGCCCAAAACCTTTCCCCCACCTGCTCAGGGCTCTTGCCGCCTTAACCACAGGGAGGCTGGAACATTCCCACTCCCCTCCCAGCCCTGGGCACCAAGACAGCATCACCCCAGTGCACAGGAGCTGCAGACCCACCCGTGCTGGGTGCCTGGTATCCATCACAGCCAATCTTCGGCCTCTTCTCACTGTAGCGGGCGCAGAGGTGGGCACTGCCCGCCCGATTACAGCACCAGTCATACAGCTTCAGCTCCTGGTCTGGGGGCAAAAAGGAGAGTGAGGGGCTGAAGGGAAGGGGAGGGAAAAGGGCCGGTTCCAGGCAAGGCTTTCCTCGGCCTTTGGCAGCTCCACATTCCCTCAAGGGAAACAGCATGTCAGGAAACAGGGTGGCACAGAGATTAAAATTGTTTACAGGCTACAACAATGCCAGCCTCGGCCAGGGGATGCCAAGGCTGGCTGTGCTTACCACGGTAGGGTGAGGCCTGCCTGGAGCTCCTCCAGTACCTCTCCTGGCGCCCCTCGATGAGCTGGCTCTGGCTGTCGTACAGGCAGCGCACGCCGGCGCCGTGCTGGTTGGGGGAGGCCGAGTGCAGCATGGAGACACGGGCACCCCACCTGCCTGAAATGGGGCAGCAGTGAGCCTCAGACAGCTCTGCCCGGCCAGCACACCTGCCTCAGGGCAAGGACTGGGCCAGAGCGGGCTCCTCGATAGCCAGCACTGCCACCACGTCACCCACGGTGCTACAGGCATTTGGAGGAACTGATGGAGACCATCCAAGTGGTCTCCCAGGGGGAGACCCTGGTCCCCAGCATCCCCATGCAGGTCAGACCAACTCCGACCAGTCTAATAAGACAAAAAGAGGTCAGCCCTCAATCCTCCTTGCTTTTCCTGTCTCTGAAGGGTAGGTCAGTCCCCCTCTCCTTTTCCTTAGGGTCACCTGCCCACCCTGCCAGGTGGGACCCCAGCCACTCTTGCAGGAAAGGTGGGGAAGGACAGCTTGGGGATGGGGAGGGTGAGGTAGCAGCATGTCCACTTGCCTCCACGGCTGCTCTTGAATCGTGGGTCCTGCTGTCCTTGCTGCAGGGAGCAGGGGCAGGTGGGCAGGCCCTGGCTCCATGCCCGGGGCTCCTGCTGTTGCCCCGTCCATGCCAGGCACTTCAGCCGGTAGTTGATGCCCACGCGGCTCTCCAGCTTGTAAATCCACAACCCACGGAGGTCTGAGCAGGGAGAGAAACCATGAGCTGTCACCTTTGGCCAAGGGGACCACAGGGACTTTTCTGTCTCAAGGTGAGAGTCATGTGGTGCTGGTGCTGGAAGCTAAGCCCACGCTGACCTCCGCCCTGTGTTCAACAGCCACCCAACAGAAGGGAAGCAGGGGAAAGGGTCTTGTCAAAGAAGAAAACCTTAGAACAGAGCCATTGGCACAAAAAGTGACCATGGGCACAGCAGGGATGTTTCAGCCTTAGGGCATAGCGGGTACCCAGGGGAAATGTGCTTGAGGGGGAAAGCCTGGCCTTGAGAACTCAGTGAGAGCCTTGCCACAGTGGCAGGCTGGATTTCATTCCCTGGGAATATTCCCCTCCTTGTGAACCCACCCCAGCTGTGTGGCACTACCTGTGTTGTAGCCCCTGAACTGGTCAGGGCGATATTTAGCAGCTGGAGGTCTCTTAGTCAGGTCATCGTTGTGGTAAAAGCCATCCCCACTGAGTGAAAAGAGGAAAAATCAGGGGTTGCTCTTCCTTGGTGGGATTATCCCAGCCCCAGCAGCCCCAGCCCCAGCCTGCCCTTCAGCCATCCTGACCCCATGCCAGTGGAACTGCAGCATGCACGTGACAGCTCTTGGGACAGGAGGGCAAAGGCATGAGCTGCCCCAGCCTCCTCTATATGGGGTACACTTCTTTTTGGGTGCTGCATCAGGGCCTGAGCCCACAGGCATCTGGAGACCCCCACGAGCAGCTTCCATGGTTTCCAGCATTTTGCCAGGCGATTTGGAGGAGAAGCCCCGAGTGGTCAGACACAAGCACACACACGCCTGTGCCGCCCGCGCTTCCCATCCGGGCCACCTTTTCCTTACCCAGCTGCAGCAAGCAGCTAATGAGAAAACCCTGGAGACGGCATGTACAGAGCAGGACGTAATGCGAGGAGGCAGGAAGCAACTGCTCCGGCCAAGCACGGAAATCCCTTCCCTCGCCTGGTGCAAAGTTCAGCAAACATCCCCTATTTCCCACTCCTTCCACCCAAACCGCCAGGATGCTGGGGGCCCAGGACTCCAGAGGGATTTGTGGATCTTACAAGCACAGCCCTGCAAGACAGCGTGCTGCAGCATGATCCAGTCCCTAATGGGGTGAATTTGTTTGTGAGGCCCCTATGTGTTAGAATATATGGGTATGCAGACCACATCTGGGCTGTTCTCATCCTTGTAGGGTACTCCCAGGGATACGGGGGAAGGATTCAACCAGTGGGAGCTGTGGGTGGGATGCATCCCAGTGCCCAGAGGAGGCAGGGATGGGGTGCTGAGCTGCTGTACCTGGTGTAGCCGATGAGCACATTGGTGGAAGTGAGCCTGGTGTAATCCCACTGCATGCCTCCGTCCTGGTACAGCATCAGGATGTAGGACCTGAAGCCATCAGTGGTCAGGACAGCCTGGTACGTGATTGTCTGGGGAGAAGCGTTGCAGACAGGTAAGAAAGTGAGTGAAAATGTGGGGTTTAAAACTCAGGGTGTGGGGCAGTGCTTGCTGGGAAATGGCCAGGCTGAGGTCTGGAGGGAAACAAGGCAAACACAGCTAGGCCTGGTTCCCATTTCACATGGAAAATGTGATGGTTTTACTTTGAAACTGTTCCATGACAAGCTTCAAATTCACCCAATTTTATGCCTCTGAAAAACAGCATTTCTGGTACGCAATAAACTCTCACCTCCTTAAAGAGAAAGGTTTTATGGAATGGGGGAAGTTCAACTAAAGGTGTCCCTCAAAAAACCTGAAAACCACCAAAACACGGGCACAGCCCAGTACTTTTTGGCAAAATTCTTCAAGACTGGCCTCTGTCACAAAACTGGTTCTTATTTTCAGGCAGAAAGAAGATCATTGCCTGCGGGCCTTGGTGTTTTTAGACAACTCAACAGCGCCTGTGTTCCATCAGTCCCTCACCTTCCGGGTGTCAGTCCGTGCTGCATGGACAGGTGCTCTCTCCCAGGTGATTTTCAGGGTCCAGACTGCAGAGTAGGAGGACCTCAGGTACCGACGGACCTTGGCTTCCACGTCACGGACAAACGGCGGCTTGGCCGTGTTGAGGGTGGAGAACTCCTGTGGGTTGGGAACACACACGTCTGCGTCAGCTCCCAGGGGGACAAAACAGGCCTAGACTGGGGTCATGCACAGACCCCTGTAACCAAAGTGCTGGATGGGATTTGGATGGCTCAAGAGGTGACGTAGCACCAACAGCTCTTAGATTTGGCTCAGAAAAGGGAAAAACCGTTGATGGGCTCCATTAATTA